TATGTTTTAAATGAATAAAAAAATTAATTATTTATATAATACATAAAATTATAAAAAAATAATATAAAAAATTATGATTAAATTATTTCCCTAAAATTTAATACGTACACTAATATTTAGCTGGAGTACTTGTTTTTGCTTCCGCCACGCCACCGCCTCGGTGTTCTAGGGTTTTAACGGTCGTAGATTTGTCTGTTGGAAAGAGAAATCCATAAAGGATAGGAGGCGAAGCTTAGCAACAGCAGCCAGCCATGGAGATGTCAAGTGATTTCGATAGGCTGCTTTTCTTCGAGCATGCCCGCAAAACGGCCGAGGCTACCTACGCCAAGAACCCTCTCGATGCCGACGTTCGTTTCTATATCCTTCAATTCGGTTTTTCTGTTCTTCCTTTTTTTTTTAATGGGTTGTTTGGATGCTGAGAAAGTACAAATGATTGCTTCGAATCTTGATTTATTTGCAAATAGAGTGGAAGTCTCTCTATGCTTAATTGCTCGCTCTGTTATTGTGGTTGTTTGTATCAGAACTTGACCAGATGGGGAGGAGCTTTGCTGGAATTGTCTCAGTTTCAAAGTGTTGCAGATTCGAAGAAAATGATTCAAGGTGCTCTCTCTCAATCTTTTAATTTTTAGGGTTAAATTGAGTAATATCAACTTCTTTTGTATAAAAAAAAAAATCCCCTTTTGAGTGTGCTGACAAATTAATGGTTGGAAAAATTTAGTCTTGAGCTGAATTTAATTGGAAGCTGAAAAATCTATTCTAAGTTTTATTGAAATTGTGTGGAACTTGTAAAGTTCTAATTTTGATTGCAATTCACTGAACAGATGCTATTTCGAAGCTGGAGGAAGCGTTGTTGCTTGATCCCAAAAAACATGATACTCTTTGGTGCCTGGGAAATGCCTACACTTCTCAAGCATTCCTAATTCCTGACCAGGATGAGGCTAGGGAACATTTTGACAAGTCAGCTGACTACTTCAAACAAGCGGTTGATGAGGTGGTTTTTTTTTTTTTTTTTTATCTTATAATCTCACTGCAGGTTACATTCATGTATTAATTTGTCAAACTGTTTTAGATTCATGATATTGTACTCTTTTTTTTTTTATGATTTTGTAGGAACCCAACAATGACCTTTATCGCAAGTCTTTAGAGGTTGCTGCTAAGGTACTCTCCTATCTTTTGTTTGGTTTATCATGTTCTTCACTGATGCTTATATTTGTATGTATTGAAACTTTAATTTTTGTGCAGCATTTAGTTATAAAAGCTTGGGTCAGAATGAGCTTTAGATTTAAGACCTGATATGCTTGTCCTGTTTCGGTTCTGTTGTGGGTTTTCTTTTCTTCCTAGGTGTTGAATTATATTCTGGATTTTGGTCATTGGCAAAGATTGTTATGGAAATTGTCTTTATATGACTGACCAGTATCTTGTTGTCGTTATTATTAATTTGGATTGAGGATTTTAGATGTTTCACAATGGTACTGCTGACTTTTGGTTTAGCATTTGGCAATGGGATGCTTTCAGTTCCTCAATGAAGAAAGCTTTTTGATTGAGATACATATGGTGGAAGCAAGTTAGTTTAGCTACTAGGTTAATGATATTTGGCTTTTTAATTTATTTGGGTAGCGGAGGCATCAAAAAGGACATTGTTGTTTTCACCTAGATTAGATAAACATAAAGATGCCCCAAGTGCCATTGGATACTTTTGATCATCTACTGTCCTATATGTCTGATTTATTTATTGGGATCCATTTCTTTAGTCCATCAAAATGTGCCTGATTAATGCTACTAATCCCTGTTGCTCAGGCCCCCGAATTACACACAGAGATCCACAAGCATGGAGGGGCTGGACTTGCTGGACCTTCTACCTCATCCACTTCAACAAAGGTGATCCTCTTTAATTTTCATCTTTTTCCTTTTTATATCCTTTTGTCCTTACTGAAATGCCTTTATGATGACGAAAGGCAGTTGCTACTTGCTAGGCTGGTCATCAGTCATCCTAACATAGGATTGTCAACTTTGTTAAAATATTGTTAGGATTGCCCTTTGTTATTGACATTTCTTCATATATGCTTATTGAGCATGCTGTCTTCTTTCACTTGAAGGTTGATCTTTGTTGTTTTTAGTGTATTGTGATGATTATATGCATCCTTCTGAGATTTCTTCGTTTCTTCTCATCCTTCTGTCTTTACCTTCCTTTTCAGACTTCGAAGAAAAAAGGCAGTGATCTCAAATATGACATATTGGGATGGGTAATCCTTGCTGTTGGGATTGTTGCATGGGTAGGATTTGCAAAATCTCATTTGCCTCCTCCTCCTCCTCCTCCAGCTCGATAAGTGGAGAATTCAGTGCACCTCAGGCATTTTTGAGAGGCAAACAGTTTCGAGGCTCTTTCGCTGATGTTTGTAGAAAATTGAGAATCTAATGTCATTCACCAACAGTTGTATCCATTTTTATGTAGATTTAGTTCTTCCTTATCATGAATCATCAATAGCTTGCAGCTACTTCCATATAAAACATTGAGTCTACCATTTCAATATTGCAATGATGTTCAACCAATATTCATCTGCACTTGTGATATTCCATTGGACTTGAGACGAGTGCTTGCAGCACACTTTCCCAATGTCACACGGCACATAGCATTTGTGTCTCTGGTGCTCCGCTTGGCGCCAATGTGTTGCATACTCTTCTGGTAATTTTCGTCACTTTTTGACTCAATAATGGACCATTCATTTACTCTTCTTCTGTTGGTTGTTACCTGCATTTTATTGTTGTGTAACAATAAATGCTTACAGCTGATAACTCCTCAGTCATCACTGCTGTGAGTGTGAATTTGAATCAATTCAAATGTCTAATCCCAAGAAAATAATTTTGGTTGGTTGCTTCCATTGACCTTTCAATCTATTCAATTTAGATATTTTGTAATGAAGAAAATGACAATTTGCAGTGTAAAAAAAAAAAAATAAGTAAGCCATGTCCTTGCATTCCAACGTCACTCTCCTCTAAAATCATACTACTATTGTAGGAGAAAACATGCAGAAGAGAGAGGAAGGAAAAGAACAAAAGAACACAGTACAGCGCTGTCACATTAAATGAATGATACATGAAGGGCAAGGGTAGAAATTGCGGAATGTGAATTTCTTTAAAAGGCAGTTATGAGACTGACAAACAATAGCTGTGGTAGTTGCTCCGGACTGTGCTCAACTTAAAAGGCTCTAGGTCTCAACATTCTTGTTATAGCCTTCTATCAACCCAAGCTTTTGTTCCCTATTCTTAGCTTTATTTCTCCTGATATTTGCTTAAATGTGAAGATGGGTTGGTTCATGTTTCTTAAACCAACTGCTTTTACTGTGGTGATGATGCTGGTGGCTGCATTGAAGACAGCTGAAGCGAAAATCAATATTCAGTTTAATCAAACTCCGCCGGCATGGTCAAGGTCCTCAACAGCTGTTTTTGAGTATTCAGTTGAAAGGCTGGATGGTTCTAATGCTTGTGGGAACAATAGTTGCTTCATTTACTGCGAGGTATTAGAATCACTCTTCCTGCTATTACTCCATCTCGATTTACTTTTCTATGTGCTTGATCTCAGAGAACTAAAGAACTCATATTGCAACAAGTTTTGTTGTTGTCTGGTCTAATTCATGTTGAAAGGTCACAAAACATGGCAAAACGCTAAACCAAAAAGATGATTTTGACATAAATGTGGCAGAAAAAAAGGTCTTTACTACATGAAAATTAGAAAAAAAAAACTAAAAGAAAATTAATAAATACTACTATTGGTAAATGTGTTTTAATTTATTTATTTTTTTAAAAAGGGGTCTGATCTGACCATAATAATATTAACATAAAGTAACACTAAAAATGT